AGTGCACTTTGTGGTGTATGTAGCCTAGCTTGCTAGCATTGCAGTATTGGCCACCACATTTCACGCAATCGTATTTCTTGAAATCATGCCCCCGACTGCAATAGATGCCGTGGCCCGATGAGCGTCGACAACTCATTGAAGCTTCCCTTTTACCATGATGTTGGAAAAAGGAAAAAAAAAAACCAAAAACAAAACACCCACATCAAGCTCAGACGCTATCATAAACCCGGCTGTGAACATGCTAACCTCTTCTGGGCCTTGTTGTGAACCAAAACGGCAGCACCTACATTTCAAATGATGTGTGTGTGTGTGTGTGTGTGTGTGTGTGTGTGTGTCTGTTTCTATGGCTCTGTGTGTGCATGCGTGTGTTGGTGTCCGTGTATTTGAACAGTCCCACGTGGGCCAAACAAGGCAAAACACAAAGGCCTGGCAGGTGTTCCATCTGCTTGCCGCTTTGCCAACGGTGAAGATAAAAGGTTGGCCTCGCCTCCAGCCGAAAGGGCGGCGGGGGGGGGGGGTGGGGGGGGATTATGTCCAAAAGGCAAACACATGTGCCACTTACAAGCAAGGTACAAAAGCCTCCCACAGCACAACACGCCGCACTCCACACAGTGTCCGCGTGGCCGCTTTGGGCCCCGTGTCCCAAGGGGTGAGCATTCCCTGGCAACCTAAGCAATCACAGGGCGGGCATTCATGTCTCGTGCGTGTGTATTAATGGCCATATTGATGTTTGCTTCTTTCATTCGTCTGCAAAACGTCAACACATCGGTCTGCCCTTTCATGCACAAACCGATATGCGCACACACACCCGTTAGCATATCTGTCTTTCTTTTTTACATAAGTAGTGACACACACACACACACACACACACACACACACACACACACACTCTCTGACTGACTTCTCCCTCCTGCGCCGTGCTGTCTTGTGTTTCTCTCTGATGGCCCAGGTTATTTCCTGGAAATTGCAAGTCCTCGACACTGACGCCAACTCCCCACGTCCCCACTCCACCCTGCGTTTCAACGAATAAAAAATAAAAAAATAAAAAATAAAAAAAAACACTAAGGGAAAAGAAACGTTTTCGTGGCAGACAAATGAGGGCGCTCATACGGTAACGGCAATCATGGGCAGAGTGGTTGAGATGACATCCGAGTGGTGACGTGGGCGTGCGGCTCGTCACTTGAGTGTTTGCTCACCAAAGTGCGGGTTGAGGTGAAGTGAAGAGACCCCACCGCACATGCAATTTGGAACTAATGGCACTTTTTTTTTTTCAATGGTCAGATGCACATAATTGAGAGTTGGGGGGGGGTGGTTCAGGCTATTACACTCGCTTAGGTTGTTTTGTACACCTGCCCCCAAAACCCCAAAAACTTTTTGGGTCATTCATTTGACTCAAAAAGTTGGGTCAACTGAATAACCCATTGAAAAAATGAATTGTTTTGTACCCCCCAAAAAAAGGGTTTTTTTTGTGAGTTCTCAATTCGAACCAAATTGTTTTCGGGTTGTTCCATTTTTTTTTAACCAATATGGGTTATTTTTGAGCCAACTGTTTTCAGAATGCATGGTAGGTAATGTTTTAGGAGCATGATGTCAGTTTGATGATTTTTTTTTTTTGTTGTTTTAATTCTTAAAAAAGCAAATTAGCAGTTTCACAGATGAAGTCAAAATACAGCATGTCTGAAATGAAGTACTCCAAAAAACATTCGGTCAAAAATAACCCAAATTAGGTCAATGTCGGACTGACCCAACTTTTTCCTTAATAACGCCACAACCCTCCACCCCCCTCCCTGAAAAAAATACCAAAATTGGATTTTTGGGAGATAAAACAAAACCAAAATTGGTATTGTTTTGTGATTTATTCATCCGACCCAACTTTTGAGGTTCAACAAACTACCCCAAAAGTTGTGTCGGTCAATTTTTGACCCATGTGGGTTATTTTTGAGCAAACATTTTGGGTGAAACAAAAACGACAAACTGACATTGAGTTAAAGAGGGGACCGAGTTATTCATTCCGAACACCATAAAAAACCCTGAAAATTGTAGTGTTTTCTTCTGCGCAATATGAATGTGTTTTTGTGTCATTTCATTTTTCCAGATCATTTCTCACCATGTGGGGACCAAAACTCCAGTGACCCAAGAACTTGATCTCACCTTTAGAATAACGCCCCCCCTCGCCACATCCAACCATTAAAGAAAAAAAAAAAAAATTCTGCCTTGACTCTCAACTCTCGGCATGAGTGCCCTGGCAGGCAAGCTGGACCCGCGGCGGGTCCAATGGGGTGCCATGTGGCACACCTTTACGTCGCGCGTCCTGAGAACCAAGCCCGTGGAGTCCATGCTGGACTCGGCCATGTCGGGCACGGGCCCGCACGGCACCCGGCTGGCCCGCGTGCTGTCCACCGTGGACCTGGTGTCGCTCGGCGTGGGCAGCTGCGTGGGCACGGGGATGTACGTGGTGTCCGGCCTGGTGGCCAAAGAGATGGCCGGCCCCGGCGTCATCGTATCCTTCATCATCGCCGCCGTGGCCTCCATTTTGTCAGGTGAGGGACTCCCTCTTTTCCGGCTGCCTCATCGGTCCAATCGAAATCCACACCGCCTCCAATTAACCAACATGTCACGTTCCAGAAGGCTTTTTGCATCCTGAATTGCCGATCATTTTTATTTTATTTTTTTTTTAAACGACATCCGTTCCATATTCCAGCCATGTTTCGCTCGGTCCGTTTAGGCGTCACAAGTTTTTGCCCCGAACCGCTTCTTTAACGACTGTTGGTCTGTCTGACGATCTGTGGCAGGAGTGTGTTACGCCGAGTTTGGCGTGCGCGTGCCAAAGACCACCGGCTCGGCCTACACGTACAGCTACGTGACGGTGGGCGAGTGCGTGGCCTTCTTCATTGGCTGGAACCTGATCCTGGAGTACCTGATCGGCACGGCGGCGGGCGCCTCGGCGCTCATATATATATATATATATATATATATATATATATAGTTTCAATTAATTTGGATTCCAAATTTTCATCCGGCAAAGCAATCCCCAATTTTGCTTATTAGAAGCGAGTCCCGATCATTCCCCAGATGGTCAGACAAGTGGGGAGCGGTTCATGGTTTTTAATTGCAAAAGTGAAGGATATGCTGCCATGTGGCGGTCCGGTCGCCTGGCAACACGACGGATCGCATCACCCGAGCCGGGCTCCCGTCGCTTCCTTCGTTGGCGCTCTCGCTTGCGCGGCAGAACTGCAGCCAACCGCAAACATTGACTGTGAAGCACCGGCATTTTTTTTTAAACGACATCCGTTCCATATTCCAGCCATGTTTCGCTCGGTCCGTTTAGGCGTCACAAGTTTTTGCCCCGAACCGCTTCTTTAACGACTGTTGATCTGTCTGACGATCTGTGGCAGGAGTGTGTTACGCCGAGTTTGGCGTGCGCGTGCCAAAGACCACCGGCTCGGCCTACACGTACAGCTACGTGACGGTGGGCGAGTGCGTGGCCTTCTTCATTGGCTGGAACCTGATCCTGGAGTACCTGATCGGCACGGCGGCGGGCGCCTCGGCGCTCAGCAGCATGGCCGACTCGCTGGCCAATCACAGCATCAGCGACTTCATGACGACGCACATCGGAACGCTCAACGGCTTTGGTGAGTCGGGGCGGCCTCGTTGGAGACGACTTAGTCAGTTACACCCCTAACGTACATATATATGATCATTCCCCAGATGGTCAGACAAGTGGGGAGCGGTTCATGGTTTTTAATTGCAAAAGTGAAGGATATGCTGCCATGTGGCGGTCCGGTCGCCTGGCAACACGACGGATCGCATCACCCGAGCCGGGCTCCCGTCGCTTCCTTCGTTGGCGCTCTCGCTTGCGCGGCAGAACTGCAGCCAACCACAAACATTGACTGTGAAGCACCGGCACGCCCGACGCCGTGTGGAAAAAGAAAGAAGCAACGTTTGGTCGAAAGAAAGTTCCATTTTCTTGTTCTTCTTGTTCAGGTAAAGGAGAGCAGTCGTATCCGGACCTGCTGGCGCTGCTGATCGCGCTGCTGGTGACGGTGATCGTGGCGCTGGGGGTGAAGAACTCTGTGGGCTTGAACAACGTGCTGAACGTCATCAACCTGCTGGTGTGGCTCTTCTTGATGGTGGCCGGGCTCTTCTTCGTCAACGGCGACAACTGGGAGCACGGGAGATTCCTGCCTTTCGGCTGGTCGGGGGTACGTCAAAATACGGGGGGGGGGCATATTTTTTTTCAATTAAACGATGTACAGTGGTACCTCTACGTACGAACGTCTCTTCAAACGAAACGTTCCAGTTACGAAACGCCTTAACAGGAAAATATTACATCTAGTTACGAAAGAAATTTCAAGATACTAAAAGTAAAAATACGTTTTGGGCTGCTCCTCGCAACTCCGAGTTACCTGAACGCAACATACTGATAGCTGCTCTGCCATTGGCTATTACCGAACATCTTCCTAGCATCCCATTGGCTAAGAGGGACCACTACCGTACGTGTCGATGTGTAGCAGATAGATCGATATCCGTCTGTGTAGCGTCCTCGTCATTGCATTTGCAAGTTTGGATCGATAAATAACATCTAAATACAGGCCATTATTATTCTATTTTCAGTTTTAGTTTGACAATATATAGTACTTATTTTGTTTACATGATTTTATTGACAGGCTAGATTAAAAGTGACTGAAAAATGTGCAAAATGGGTTTAAAAAAAAATTGTGCTCTTGAGAATGTTTTTTTTTTAATTTTCATATTTTTTAAAAAAAATGACATGATACAAAATACATCACATTTGAAAAACAGATTGTATTTTTAATGTCGGCGCTCTTTCTCCGCGTCGCAGGTGATGCAAGGCGCCGCCACGTGCTTCTACGCCTTCATCGGCTTCGACATCATCGCCACGACGGGAGAGGAAGCCAAAAGTCCCAACACGTCCATCCCGTACGCCATCACCGCCTCGCTGGTCACGTGTCTCACGGCCTACGTGTCGGTAGGTTGCCGGGGAAACCGCACACCTACAGCCTCCCGGGGCGCCGCGCTACAACTAGCTGCATCTTATTTGTGAGTCCGACATGTTGGATGATGGTTGCCAGGGGCAACGGCCGCCTCTGAAAAAGACGGAGGCACCGCGGTGGCGGAATCCGGTGAACCGCATCAAGTGCGGTGTTTTTGCACCGCCCTTGTTTCAGCATGTTAGCGGGATTTCAAGGGGCGGAGCTATGTGGTGGCCAGGCCCTCTCTGGCCATGGGTGCAGTATTCTCAGATCCCTTGGGTCTCTGCTCAAATTCTGGTTTCTCCGGCAGGTGTCCGTCATCTTGACCCTGATGGTCCCCTCCGACCAGATCGACGCCGACGCCCCGCTGATGGAGATGTTCGCCGCGCACGGCTGCATGTTCGCCAAGTACATCGTGGCGGTGGGCTCCATCGCCGGGCTCACCGTCTCGCTGCTGGGCTCGCTCTTCCCCATGCCCCGGGTCATCTACGCCATGGCGGGCGACGGCCTGCTCTTCAAGTCAGTTTTATTTATTTTTTGGGGGGACGTGGTGGGGGGGGGGTTGTTCTCGTACTGGGCTCAGGGGTCTCCAAAATCATCATTTTGTTGTATCATTTAATAAGATTAAAAAAAAAAAAAAACACTGTATAAGGGTGTGGTGGCCATCGGGAATTTCGGGAGTTTTCCGAACGGCCGGCCGCCTGGAGGAAGCTCCTCAACCCACTTCAACATAGTTCCTTGGCACCAGGATGCCTCGAGGGGCTATCAAGGCACTACTTTCTTATAAATGAAGCTCCTCAATTGACCTTCACAACTTTTCTTAGCACCAGAATGAAAATAACGGAAAAAAAATTCACCTCCCTAAGCCGTCTCCTGCTTTCTACCTTCTGGCAGAACTTTTTGCAAATGTGCGCTTGCGTGTGTGATTGCACGCAGGTTCTTGGCCAACGTATCTTCGTACACGGAGACCCCCGCCGTGGCCTGCGTGGTGTCGGGCTTCCTGGCCGCACTCTTGTCCCTGCTGGTCAGCCTCCGAGATCTCATCGAGATGATGTCCATCGGCACACTGCTGGCGTACACTCTGGTGAGGACAAGAGCAACGACGTCTTGGGTTCGTTCGGAACCCGCGCACAAAATGAGCTCACGTGCCAGTTTAGCTGTCCTGAGCTGCGGCGCGCACTTTCCTTGTTAGCTTAGCATGTGTGCTTGACGTGGCTGGATTACACTCCCCATACTCCACTTTTCTTTTTGGCTGACCTTTTAGTCTCTATTAAATTGACTTTAGAAGTGTTTTGGTTTTAAATGATGTGTCAGAAATTCTGAAAATCAGAACACGTACTCATGTTTTCTCGGCGCGGGATGGCTCGTTAGCCCAAGAGTCGCATGGCAACTCCACAGTCTCCACTTTGCCGCAATGCTTTTCTCTTCTGTTGCACTCAGTCCACTCCAGGTACAAATAGTCTGTAGAGCGATGCCTGCTGGATTTGAAAATTTCCCACACTACTGTGGGTCAGAAATGTTCAAAATAAACGCACGCGCTAAGGTTAGCATAACCTCATTAGCAACATTAAACATCGCAGACCGCGCCTTCCCGCGATGTTCCATTTATCCGCTGCCCTCAGTCTCCTCTTGGATGAAAAAGACGAATTTCGTTCTGAGCGACCCATTCCGTGCAACGCCAATTTAGTTTCCCGCCGCCACAGAGAGACCGGTTACACGTCGTGTACTCGCGCAGGTGAGCCTCTGCGTGCTCCTGCTGCGTTACCAGCCCGAGGGCGACATACACGGCCTCGTCAACTTCCTGTCCGAGGAGCAGAACGTCAAGAGGAAGGAAGGCGTCCTGGCCGAGTGCGAGAAGGACGCCTGCTCGCCCGGCCGCGACGACGCGGACGAGACCACCAACACGTGCGGTGCCAAGAACCTGCCCTCCCTGGGCGACAACGAGATGCTGATCGGCAAGCCCGACAAGAACGCCTACGCCGCCGGCCACCCCAACTACGGCACGGTGGACATGGGCAGCGGCATCGAGGCCGAGGAGTCGGAGGGCGGAGCGACGTGGCGGCTCAAGAAACTGCTGGGGCCCCGCTACTACACCCTGAGGATTCGACTGGGACTCCCGGGGAAGATGGACCGGCCCACCGCCGCGACGGGGAAAACCGTCACCGTGTGTGTGCTGCTGCTTTTCCTTTTCATGTTCGCTTTCTGCTCCTTGATCATATTTGGTAAGTATGGACGTTCTCATTGGAATCTTTACCGGAGATATTGTTAAATTATTGCCACTTTTGGGATGAAATTATTGCGACTTGGTGACTCCCTCAGTAAAAAAAAAAAAAAAAAAATCAATGATAAGGCCAATAATATAATGGACTTGATTTTCTTTTCCCGTCGTCCAGGCGCGAGCAGCATCGGGGAGGCTCGCTGGTGGGCTCTGCTCCTCCTGATCTTGTTGGTGGCGGCGCTGGCGCTGCTGGTGGTCATCATCCTGCAGCAGCCGGAGAACCCCAAGCGGCTGCCCTACATGGCGCCCTGCGTGCCCTTCGTGCCCGCCTCCGCCATGCTGGTCAACATCTACCTCATGCTCAAACTCTCCGCCATCACCTGGATACGATTCTCCATATGGTGTCTCGTCGGTGAGGACTTTTTTTACATGATACACTAACATTTATTGCGCAATAATTGAATGGTGACATGATTTGTTCCATATTTTGATGCATTTCTTTGCTTCAGGAAACATTTATGTCCGAATTTTGCGCGGGCTTGGAACGGATTAGGCCATTTACATGGAAAATGCGTCTCTACTTACAACATTTTCGAGTGAAGAAATTTCTTCGAAAACCAATGAATTTTACAAGTAGAGGTACCACTGTACAGGGACAGAGGACCGCTTGGGTCACTTTGACCTCACTTTTTGGATTATTCATGTCTCCGCAGGCGTGCTCATTTACTTCGGCTACGGCATGTGGAACAGCACCTTGGAGATCACGGCCCGGGAGAACGAAGCGCACGCTTCCACCTACCAGCGCTACGACCAAGGCGTGGACGAGGGCTTCTGCGGCTTCGACGACGACTTCTACCCGCCGTCCGAGGTGGCGTCGGGCCCGGCGGGCAGAGCGCCGCAGGCCCAGCCGGAGAGCGACGGGACGCCCGTTCGCAGGGCCGGCGCCGCCCCGGTGGAGGAGGAGCCCGTGGATTTCTGAAGGGACGCCGGGATTTTTCGACCGCCTCGAGCGGCGGGCCGAGCGGGAGTTTGGTGGTCGCCGGGCAAGCGTGCATGCCAGCATGTGGATGGGTTGTTGTTCGTGTGTGGACTCCGTGGGCTACGCTGCCAATCCCCCACCACCCCCCGACACTCACCCCCTTTGCTACGTCCTTCGCCGGTTTTCACCACAAAAAACAAAACACTGATAGCAAAGTGCAGACGCTGCAGATTGGAGGGCTCGCTTTGCTCGTTAGCGCAGAGGACAAAAAAGTCACTACAAGTCAGCGCGTCTTCTTATCAGAGTGAAAATGTTTAGAAAAAAAAAAAGGCTAAACCAGAGATGGGCAAAGTTTGTGTTCGAGGGTCAGGGTTAATTTTGAAATATGACAAATTTAATTCACTTGAGGCTGAGGATTCAAAAGAAAATATGTTTATGTTTTATTCAGGCTTGTTATTTATTCTAATAATTATCTTATCATAAATTTAAATTAATTGACCGACAACATATGACCTGGTTGTTGAATGTGATGAATAAATAAAATAAAATAAATCCTCATGAATACATTTTCCTCAATGAATTTTCCTTTGGTGAAAATTTTTCTACACACCAATTTTTATTCCTTGGACAAAAAAAACAACC